TAATTATAACTTTTTAGTATATATTTCAGAAATTAATCAATTCTAATTTATTATTTGAAAAACTAATCAATTCTAATCAACAATTTAGAAAACTAATCGATTATAATTAATTATTTGAAAAAATTATCAAATATGATCGATCATTTCGAAAATCTAATCGATCAGAATCAAAAAATCTGGTTGTATATGATAGCGGTTCCACTGGAACCGCTATTATATGTTACATTCGCTTGAGCGAATGTTGACCTGCGTAAACGTTACTTTCGCTTGAGCGCTTGAGCGAATTTTACTTTCGCTTGAGCGAATGTTATTATATGATAGCGGTTCCACAGGTGGCACTAGTGCAGAATAGGGCTTTTACGTCACCCAATTATCGTCGCATGCATGTATATTCGACGTAAATAAAACGCGGTGGCAATTTTGTAAATATGGGATAAAAATTTTATGTCGCACATCCCAGTATGTGATGTAAAAAGCCTCTTTTACGTCGCGCCCTCCAGGTGCGATGTAAAAGATGGCTTTTTACGTCACGTGCTGGGATGCGCGACGTAAAAAGTCTATTTTATTTCCCTCCAGACCCACTTCCTCGTCTTGCGCAACCAGGGTTTTTGAGAACGACGACGAGAACAACGACAACAGCTACCTCTGCACACCATTTTCGAGCAGTTTTACAGTGAAAAGCATCTACATTATCGTGTCATTTGACGAACTTGATCTTTCTCCCCGATTGGATTCGAGTTTGAAATCAGTTTTCGTCTACACTCGAGGTTAGTGTTTTATGTCATTGCTATATGTTTACATTGAATCCGTGATTGTTTTTGGGGATCTCAATCACGTTATAGTATGAATGTCTCCACTGGATTGTTATTGGAATGTAATTAGTTGTTTATTTGTTTGAGTGCATTCGGTTTACACACTCCATTGTTATTGGAACGTGCTTTGTTGTTTGTATATTAATTTTTTTTACATATAATTTTTAAATCTCTAGGAGTGACGAAACTTTATAACATAATATGAATCGAAGTTGGATGAATGCACGTCGTATTAGTGAAGAGTACGAAAAGGGAGTTGAGGAATTTTTGAAATTTGCTAGTGAAAATGGAAAAACTATGAAAGGGACATATTATTGTCCATGTGTTCGTTGTTTGAATCAAATTTGTCATAAACTTGAGGATATACGTGATCACTTGTTTGTTTATGGTATTATTAAGAGTTATACAATATGGACATGGCATGGAGAAATATTAGACATCCCAACTGTGTCAACTACAGACAATTTTGATGAAGGGATGGATGATAATCTAGAGGATATGATACGTGATATTGGTGAAGAAAATTTTATGAAAACACATCTATATGATTCTTTGAAATCTGATTTTGCGCAACAATTGTACATAGGATGTAGTTTTACAAGATTATCAGCAACTTTAAAATTGTTTACTTTAAAAGCAAGAAATGGATGGACTGATAAAAGTTTCACCGAATTATTGGAGTTGTTGAAGGAGATGCTTCCTGAAGATAATATTTTTGTAACTAATTTTTATGTCATACAATGTAGGTCCCATTGGCAGTTAATTGTAATCATGCCCCGGGATTACACTGTGGTGTGGTTTTGTTCATTACATCGGAAACCGAGTCAAGAAATGAAAAGCTTATTACAAGGGTAACTTTATCTTTTATTCATTAATTATGTTTTTAAATTGTGAATACATATTGAATAATATATGACTTTTTTTCACTTAGAATCGTGTCTCGGAACTAATGTTCTAAGTGGAAAACCTAGAACAAAGACTTTGCAGTTCATTTATCCTAAGGTTAGAAACTTATTTATATAAGTGAATACCATAATTATTGTTTGTATTTCAATTTTGAAAATAATATTATGTTTTTTTCATCATTTCGAGTGTAATAAGCAAACCGACTCGTTTGAATGTGGTTACTATGTAATGTATTGGATGAGAGCCATAGTTTGTGCGGGTTTAATTGATTCTTGGACTGGAGGTAATTACTTTTAACATTAGTTAAGTTTATTTAACTTTATTCATGTTGCATGCTTACAAGAGTCAAATTCATGTTTCGGGTATTTCAAGATCCATCTCCATTACCGGAATCCGAGATTACGTAAATTAGAGAACAATGGGCAAAATTTTTTGTTCAACAATTCTAGTACATTATTTTTTAAGTTCTTGTTCATATTATATTGTGTGTATTATGTAGTTTAGTTTAGTTTGTATAGGTAGCTTAGTTTGTAATAGATTTTTTAGTTTGTATGTTTGTATTATATTGTTTTATTATGTAGTTTGAATTATATAATATTATATTTTTAATTTACTAGCTAAAGAAAACTGAACCTCTGGACTGTCTGGTTGTAATATTTGCAGGTTTTAGTTGTAAAACAGAATAAATAAACCCAATTTAAAAAAAAACAGTAAATTTACGTCGCATATTGGTATATGCGACGTAAATTTACGTCGCGTATTGGTATATGCGACGTAAATTTACGTCGCGTATACCATATGTGACGTAAATTTTCTATTTTTTTTTAAATTGAAAAGGTTTTTACGTCTGTTTAGTGTAAATATATGTCGGATCTTGATAACTGACGTAAATCTACGTTGGGCAAAAGATCTGACGTAAATTTACGTCTCCCGCTTTAACGTCGAACTTAAATACGATGTAAAAAGCCCTAAATACCTGACGTAAAAGCCCCTTTTTGCACTATTGTGGCGTCGCTCGAGCGATGTTACTTTCGCTTGAGCGAATGTTGACATGCGTAAACGTCGATCAAAGTTAGTCGTATAATGTAACCGGGGTGCCTCATGTTTGAATCGGATGTCGCTCGAGCGAGAATAGTGTCGCTCAAGCGAAATACAACCCGAGAATGCCAATTTTGTGCAGGTGGCGTCGCTCGAGCGATGTTCGTTTCGCTTGAGTGAATGTTGACCTACGTAAACGTCGATCAAAGTTAGCCGGATAATGTAACCTGGGTGCCTCATGTTTGAATCGGATGTCGCTCGAGCGAGAAAAGTGTCGCTCAAGCGAAATACAACCCGAGAATGCCAATTTTGTGCAGGTGGCGTCGCTCGAGCGATGTTATTTTTGCTTGAGCGATATTGCAAAAATCAGATATAATCATGGATTATTTTCTCATTAGCGACCGATTTTAATTCGGTCGCTATTTCAATTTGTAATTCGGTCGCTAAATCAGTCGCTAAATGATTTTTTTATTTATGTATGAAATAGCCACCGATTTAGCGACTGAAAATTTGCGACGCACAAAAATTGGTCGCTATTTCAGTCGCGAAATAAAAAAGTGAAAACCAAATCATATTTTGGTCGCTAAATCGGTCGCTAATTGCGACCGAATTAAAGTGGTCGCTAAATCGGTCTCTAAATATGACTAAAATTAAATCGGTCGCTAATTGCGACCGAAAAAATTTGGTCGCTAATTTCGGTGGCTAAATGTGTTTTTTCTTGTAATGTGAATCAAACCATATCGAGTTGAGTTAAATTAAGATGAGACAAGTTAGGCTGTAATTGAATAGTACAGACTAAGATGAGATAGGTTGGGTTGGGGCAAAAGCTTTGAAACGCTAGTTTGGTCAAAAGAGCCATCCTACTAAATTATCATTACCTTGTTCACATAAAAAAAATAAGTGCGTGCATTCCTCGAGTATATTATGTTACCCTGAAAAGGAGCGCACAATGTTTTGCGATTAATTCTCAGTTAATGTCTTTTGTATGAGAAATATTATTGTTTGAAGCATTCATGTTGATTTTTTAATGCTACGACTAATTAGTAAATTAATATTTGTATGCTTGTATATTTTGCTGATGGTATAATAATGTGGTTTTTTATTTACTTACGTAGAAAACAAGCAACCTTATAATATATAAAGATAAGCGGGAGAGAAAGTTGGAAGTATATGAATATTGTAATGAAGTTATTGACATCTTTCATTTATAGTTTTGAATGAAAACTCCAATTAATAATGAGATCTTTTAATAACAGTAAGATGAAATTAGATGTAGACGAAATATTAAATAATTTTGTTATTATGATAATCTTGTATTCTCTTGTCAGTTTTTCTTATTAATGTAGGTTTGTTTATGTTTTAAGTGAGTGTGTACTCATACTTCCTCATCCAATTACGATTTTTGTTAATTTTTCAATATGTTTTTCACTCATTTATATACAAATTTGGATTTAAGAAAATATACAAGTGATTTAAAAAAAAATACATGAGTGCCTCATAACACTAAGTTATATTACTTTAAGACCAAGATGTTACAATTCTATGATATTGATAGAAAAGGCGACCTCATTTTATACCTTGGCAAAAAGCTACAATTCACAATTTTGAAATATTTGATATAACATCTTAATAAAGTTAATAGATATAGTTAAAAATAATTCATAACAATATCCTAATTTTAGGAGTTATTTCTTTGTGTGTGTGTTTTTTTTTTCTGACAGATTTATGTTTGTATACAACAAATTCGATTTTTATATAATTTCTATTAAGATTTCAACCCTTGGGAAATTGCTTTTTATTTTTATTTTTTTTATGCAAAGCCTCAATACATATAAGGATTAGGTTTTCGAAATTGTCAAAACAATTCAAAATGATAAGTTTCTGTCCTAGCTAAAAATGATATTTTGACACTAAAAAAAATAAAAACATCATTATTTTGTTGTTTGTGTGTGTTTGTGAGGTGGAGAGTGGGAAGATCTTTCAAGTAAAGACACCAGAGGTCAAAGCAAATGTATAAACCAAAGTTAATTAAAAGAATGCTTAATATTTGCCACCATATAGTCAAAGTTTGAACATGTGGTTGCTGGGGAGGGTGGATTTTGGTTACACATGGTGCTCTTTAAGTGAAGTTAATTACTGATCTCTTGTTATTTGTAGGATCTTTGAGAGCACTATATAAATAGCTGGTGAGAAAGCTAAGAAACATAAACAGTCTCAGACACATTCAAGCCTTCAAGTAACAAAATGGTAACCATTTTGGCTTCTCACAATGTCACTCCAAACCAACCAACTCCCACTGAACCTTTATGGCTATCAGATAGTGACCAAATCGGGTTCCTAGCTCACGTACCAAATATCTACATCTACAAAGCAAAACACCACGGCAATCTCATTGAGAGGATGAAAAACTCTCTTAGCAAGACTTTAGTTCACTACTATCCAGCAGCTGGCAGATTGAGATTGACAAAATGGGGATCGAATGGAGGTGGATTGCAATGCAAAGGGAGTCACATTACTTGAAGCCGAAAGCTCAAAGACATTTTGGTGAATATGGAGACTTTTCTCCTTCGGATTCAACAGAGGAACTTGTTCCCAAAGTTGATTACAGGAGATCCTTCTAATGCTATTTCACTACTTCAGTTTCATAACAAATAATTTATGGATACTGACTTTTATTGACTTAAAAATTCTCTAAAAACCAAAACATTAACTCTTTAGAATTTAAAACGTTCTATAATAATGATCCTCATAAAAACAGTTGTAAAACGTTTTAAAATTATCAAAATGTTCTAAAATCGATTATCCTGTTATTAAACATTATGTGTCTATCTGTTTGTGCGTATGTATTTATGTCTATGTATTTGTATGTTTGTTGTGTGACTGTTTGTGTATTTGTGTGTTTGTGTCTATATGTGTTAAAGTAAATCTCTAATAACTACATATTCTAAAATCTAACAGTTAAAATTAATTATTGTTTTCAATCAATAAATTACTAAAAGATGATTGATGACAATGAAGAGTAAGTTTTTAATTCTTATTTTAGAATTAAATGAATTCATTATCTTATAATTTATATATATTAAATCATTATATCTTAAATTAAAACTAATTTCATTAATATATTTTAAATTTTAAAAGTATATTTTTATTTTAAATTTTTATTTAAATATTTTATAATTAAATATTTTGGTATAGATACATTAATAATTTTTTATTTTATTTTCAATCAAGTCAAAATTAACTTGTTGGCCTAACATAAAGTCAAGATAAGTTAAAAATTATGGCAAATTTTAAAATAAAAATAAGCCCGAGCCATCAATTATTTTTTACTTGGTCCGTAGGACTAAATCAAGCTAGTTGACCAGTCTATTTTAACAATCCTAGGTAGAACTTATCAAGTTGCAAAACATCAATTCTAGACCACTCATGGCACATGGTAAGGAGGAAGGTGGAGAAGTACTCGAAGAAAGATGAAGGGAGGTGAAGGGACAGGAGAAGAGAGGACAACCGATGGGAAGTGGAGGGACAGAAGAATAGAGGATAAGCGATAGATGCAAAGTACTTGTTTTGATATTATTGGGTTACCCATTCTTTTTTATGTCGGATTGATTATATGTCCGACATAAATTTTAGTTTTTACATCGGATCCCACATGTCGGATATGTTATTAATCCTACGAGAAAAAACTGACTTAAAACATTTATTTTGCACTAATGAAATGAATTGTATTGTTGGATATTGGGATGAAAAAATGTTGAACACTGAAAAACAACTTGCTCTTGAACTCCATTACGCTTAAGCAAGACCTGTGTCACTTGAGCTGGTGAAAGAGGTGGTTTAAGGTGGTGACAATTCGCTCAAACAAGAGTTTCTTCGCTCAAACAAAAGTCAAGTCAGCCTAAATTTCACTTAAGTAAGAGTTAAGTCAGTTTAATTTTCATTCAAGCGAGGATATTTTCTCTCAAGCGAGGATATTTTTGCTCGAGCAAGAGAAAAGAAAATTGATGTGGTGAATGCTCAAGCAAAATTTCTAGGGTGCTTTTGTCCAAACTTCTAAAATTCATAAAAAAAATAGATACGAACTCCAAAGTTTACATTTCATATATTCAAATGTAAGCTTTTGAAACAAGGAATATAATGAAATAAGAATTATCAAAAAAATAATATCTACAGATAAAGTTAGAACCAAAAGAGTAGATAGAGATCACATTATACATAATTAAACTATTTAGTTAAAATAGACTTAATTTATTATAAATATAAGAAAATGACATGTTGCATGAATTATGAGATGATATGGTAATGTTTTGTATTCTTGATATTAAGATATCTATTGAGACTTAGTTAAGCTAAGAGAATGACTCATGATCGATTGAGATATATTTGTGTATGTGAAGTTAAGTTAGGAATGTGATTCATAATCTACTAAGTATGTGTATGGTTATGGGTATCTAGAGAGGTACTATGTGGTGTTAATAGGGTTACCATGCTTATGTAAATTTAAGAGATCGCAAGTACCAATTATAGCTCTAGTCTAGTAGACTAAGGTATTATTGTCTTTCTGTTGATGTTTCTTTTTATGCGTATTTATTTTTGGTTTTACATCCACTTTCTTTCTTTTTTCTTCACATTTTTATTTTTCTCATGTTTTTCTTATTCTACTTTTGTCCTTTTTTTATTCTTCTATATTGTCTTCATGATGTTTTACTTCTTTTAAGGATAGAAATTATTGTGGAGGATCTTGAATTACTTGTTGAAATTACTTCACAATTGTATTTCATATATATATATATATATATATATATATATATATATATATATATATATATAAAATATGAAAAGACATTTTCTAATTCATACAAGGGAGAGGGATTTTGTGTATCGTTGTGGTAAGGTGATGAATCGATCCAATTAATGGTTTGTTGCTTTTTATAATGACTTAGCTTAACCTAATTTATGTTCCATTTATTTTATATGGTTTACATATGTGGATCTTTGGCATATTTCATATTTGTACGTTTTAATTAAGGGTGTTAAAATATGTTTAATATGATGAATCAGCCTAGAAAGCTCGAGGAATAAGTCAGGTTAAACCAAAACATTTGTGACCTAAATTGAATTATGCTTATTTTGACCCAGTCTATTTAGGTCATGACCTATATGAACTTAGGTCAGGCTAGGCCGTAGACTTATGGGTCAGTCCGTTTTATAGTATAATAATTATTTTTTAAATAAAAATAAAAATAATATTATTTTATTAAAAAATATATATGTATTATAAATTAATTTGATAAAGATTCACTTATTCTAAGAATAAATATAAGAATAAATTTTTAATAATAACTTATTCTAAGATCTAATGATTAAAATTAACTACTATTTTAAATTTATAAAAATAAATTATAATAATAAAGAGTAAGTTTTGAAAGCAATAAGGGGAAAATTGATGGAAATGTGAAACATGTCCCTACATTTCCAAGAGATGATTTTGATGATGATTCAAGTAAATAACATTCACGACTCAAGCAAGCCCAATATATGATTTTGATAAAGATTCCATTCAACATTCAAGCAAGCCCAAGATGATTCCCGAAAACTAGATAGAGTATTAGAATATTGGATATGGAGGTACAAGTTGATGAAGTGGTATTATCCATAAGCCTCCAAAGCACACGTGTGATAAAATTTCGTGACATGACATTTTTCACTGTCATAATCAATTATGATGCATCAGAAATGAAAAAACGATTTTCTCTTTGTCATAATCGTTTATATTGGTAACATAATCGATTATGGCAGTTCAAATTTGAAAAATATATCTATTTTGAAGAATAAATATTTTTTAATACATCTTGATTTTTCTCTACGAAAGTATACGACCAACAACTATTTTTTGATGTTATTTTCCTATTTAAATGAGTTTTGATGAAAAATAAAAAAACACAATTACTTTTGAAAATACAATTTACATTCAATCAATTTTGAGAAAAGAATTTTGAGCAAGGCAACAGAGATATTTTACATGTTTTGAGAAAACCTTCTTCTCCATTGCCTATTGTGCTTTCATTGTTAATCACACTTGTTCTTGGAGGTTGGCATTCTACAAGCTTCTACAATTTGTTGTCTCCATTACCCAGGTGTGACTGTTCTTGTTTTATTACCTTCATCCTTTGTGGGCTTAAGTGGTTGATTGTTAAATTCCTTGTTTAGGGTTTAAATAGTCACTATCATTCTGTTGTAATTTTTTTGGGTTTCCTATGTGAAAACTGTTCATCCCTTTGATTTGTTCAGAGAGGTGTTTTCATTCTTTGATTTGTTCAGAGGAGGTGTTCATCCCTAGTGGGATTCTAAGGAGGTGTTCATCCTTAATGGAATTCTAAGGAGGTTTGTTCATCCTTTGATTTGTTCAGAGGAGGTGTTCATGCCTACTGGGATTCTAGGGAGGTGTTCATCCTCAGTGGGTTTCTAAGGAGGTGATTGTCTTTTGAATTAGTTTGTTTTTTGCTGAGTCGATTATAATTTGTAAACTAAATTTAAAAGATAGTGAATTGGGGTCACTCTTGTGTTAAGAGTTTACTGGGAACTGGATGTAGGATTGGTTATACCCGAACCAGTATAAACCACTGTATGCTCTTCTCTTTTCCTTATCCCTTTTTCACTGCATGACTCTCCTTATGCCCCTTATTTTTATCTCTATCTTTTTCTATCTTGTTGATATTTTATCTCTCTGATTATATTATTTCCGCTTTATCTTTGTTCAATTTGATAATTAAAATTGAATTAATAAATATTGGACATCTTAAAATAAATTTTTAATTTAACATTTATTTAATTTGTGCATCTATTCACCCCTCTAGATATCATTTGTCTAACAAGTTTTTTATTCTTATTTTGAAATTAAATAATGTATTATCTTATAATTTACATATTAAATTATTATATCTTAAACAAAAACTAATTTTATTACTAAAATTTAACTTTTCAAAATATATTTTTATTTTTATTTAAATATTTTTTAAGTAATTGATTCTGTATAGATATGTCAATATATTTTTTTTAATTCAATCATATCAAAATTGACTCGTTGGTCTCGAATAGGGTTAGACTAACCTAAAATTTTTGGTCTATTTTAAATATAAGTCAAACTGGACTATTAAATTATTTTATTTAGCCCAGTAGGATCAAGCCAAGTTGGATGAATAGTCCATTTTAACAACTATAATTTTAACTAATTAATTGTTTATTTTTGTAGAAATAGTAAATTAAAGAAAACTAAAAAGTTTTAATTTAAAGAATCCATTCAATGAGTCAGAAATTTTGTTTAGTGGATTATCTCAAAAGGTTCATTCCAGTTTTGAATTAGTCACTAAGTAGATTGATTATGCCGCTGAGTGAGAAAGTTGTATTTCATTAACTATCGATTCTGCCGAGTGAGCAAAGCATTCGTCCAAGGAATCTTTTACAAAATCTAAATTATGCAAAAGCACAATTCAAGTCCTATGTGTATGTAATTCAATAGTTATGAACCTTGGATGAGTCTTGTGTGTATTGAGCATGTTTTTTATTGTATCAATAAGCTTTTAAAGACCGAAAATTAGAAGTTTCATTTTCTAGATTTCAA